GGCATTTCTCCAACTCAGTAAGGGAAACAGGACAACCATTTGACTGCGGCACATACAGCTGATTTCTCGGTTCAACATGAACACGTATCACAGTGTTGCTTCCACTGAAAAGCCAAAAGTCTTCTCGTGAATCCAACTGTCGCAAGGAATCAGGTTTTGTCGTACTTGAGAAAGTCTTATGTTGTTGATGTTGTTCAGCACTGGTTGAGATTGTTCGTTTGCTTGACATCAAGTTGGGATCTTCGCATTGGTACATGCTGGAAAAACGTACACTCTTCACTAGGCCTTCTGAAGACAGGTTCAAATCACTTGGTAAAGACTCAGGTTGCTCATTGGCTGGCATCTGCACGCAAGGCATTTTCAGATTGGAAATCTTTTGTTTGCACACTACATGCATCAGCTGTCGTAGCACCTGTTCAAACCTGATTGCATTCTGAGAACCTAGTTCTTTTGCATGAACATGTTGAACATCACCGCATGTACAAATATCGCCATTGGGCACTGGAAAGTTGGTAAGCAGTTTCAGCTTCGAACAACAAGGAAAGTCATGTCCATTTCTAAGCTGCTCATAGTTACACCATTGATGAAGCGTAGCATGCAACAATGGGGCACACTGCTTTACAACTTGCAAGTTCCAAACCTGGCTCCTTTCGCTGGCTTCAATGACAACTGGAAGACCCTTTTGGCATTGCTGTCGAACAAGACGAAACAAATGCTCGGCTCGAAGGGCATCATGTTTGTTTCCGGACCCGGCACATGGACCCGCAAATCTTATCCAAAGCAAAAATGGCCCCTGATGCTCAAGTTGGGACAGGATGTCCTGGCATTGAGATCTACTATGCAAATCATGGTGAAAATGCATGGTCTTAAGGCCGTACTCTTGGAGAAGACGTTGACGTAGTCCTGCCTTATCCGAAAAGACCCAAGCCAAACCTTCAGTACAAAGTTGAGATGACTTTGACTTCATCATTGGTTCAGATCCTTCTGGATTGCATACATTGGTTTCGAAACTGTGATGTTTCGCATCGGCAGGTGAACCAGTTTCAACATTCACGCTACCGGCTTTCAGCAAACCTCAGTTGGATTGAGTCCCGTCCGCGCTCTTTGAACGCTTTGGGGGCGACTTGGCACGGTTCTGGCGGCATGACATGTTGAACGCAAGGTTCTGATCGGTCTGCATGGCATCTTGGCTTCGGGCATGCAAAGGCAAAATCCAGTGGCCACTGTTGGAAAGCTCCAGCTCATAGACATGGCTTCCTGGACTCATCTTCACCTCGATTCCACCTGGGCCTGGTATGATCATCTTTCCTGATCCACAGTCCAAAATCACCTGCATCTTTCTCAGTGTTTTGTTGCCCAAAAGTGGAGGCAGCATGCTGTCAGGTATGATCGGCGCCGTGTAGGTGGCGTCATTGACCTGGCCAAGTGCACTGCGAACTGACATGCTAACACAGGCTGACTTGTTGGCAACTTGGGCTGACTTGCCAACTCCCTCGACTGGCAGAGGCTTGTCAAGGGTTCTGTGCTCCAGCTCAGTGTTCAACTCTTGGCACATCTGCTGAGCTGTCAACTCACCGATCAAATTGTCATGCGCTCCAGGATCAACCAGCAATCCAACGGCACCTGAACGCAGGCGCGTTCTGAGGTGGTAGGTGCCTTCTGTTGTGGACTTCATCTTTTCATCCTCTTTGTTTGTGTCAATTTCCCACCAGGGATACGATCCGCCGCTTGGAGGGCCATGTTGTTGCCCTTGGGTGCCTGATCCACTGCTTCCGAAACCCATGCATGAACTGCCAAAAGCATTCGGTGGAGTAAATCCCATCTTCGGAAGTGCAGGACCGATGTTCATGCCAGGAACACCAAACGCAAGTGGCTGATATTGCATCATCATCATTTGATTCCCTGGCTGTGCTACTCCAGTCAACTGAGATTCAAGACTCAGCACCTGACGGGGAACTCCAGAAACAGCGGCATTCGGAACTGCATCATGTCTGCCTGCAACTTGTTCAAAACCCATCATCAATTGGTGCAAACCTTGAACAGACTGCTGTCTGACTTCTTGCTGTTCCTCACGGCTCATTCGGACAGGTCGTCCGGCAAAACCTGAAACAGGAGACGGATCATCAATCGGCACATCCTGAGATGTCTTTGGCATGTGGGCATCATCGGCTGCAGTTGAACCTGAAACTCCAAGACGAATTGAAGTCATTTTCGGCGATCGTGCTGGTGGTGGTGATTGTGGTTCACTGGCACCTTCAATCAACTTTTCAACTTCAGGGCTTGCAAAACTACCGGATGCTTCATGGACAGATGCAACATCGGATGCATGGCCGGATGCGGCTGCAGGCGAATGCTCGGATGCTGCAACGGATGCTTTTGGGAAAAATCCAGGGCTAAACTTCGGCATAGCTTTACTGGGCTGATCTGGTGTGGACGCTTCAGCATGATCGGATGATCTCTTTCGGCTGGATGCCGAGACCACACTGCCTGCATCAGAAATGCTGCGAAGCTGCTCCATCTCGGCGCCAAAGAAGTGCACACCTGGAAGCGAGGCATTGGTTGCATTACCCCACATTAAGGATTGGTTCGTTGGCATCAAAGCAAGCTGTTGTTGTGGCTGAGGTGCATTCATGGTGGCATGTGCATGTGTTGCAGGATTGGATCCACTACCAGTGGCATATGAACCATCTTGCTGTGGGCGCTTTGGGCATTTGCGCCACAGGTGTTCATCTGACTGGCAAACATTGCAACGCATCACTTGACCAGATTTATCCTTGGGGTTCTTCTTTCGGAAACCACCCTTTGGATTGGGACCACCCTTACCCCCTGCAAAAGCCTGTGGTGGCAGGAAAGAGGCATATGCTGGCTTACCACCTTTTCCACCTTTACCAAACTTTCAGTACCTTCTGGGAAACTTGCTGGAAATACGACGCCATTTTTTTCTGGCGAAGGCATATTCCTGATAGGCTTCACTGGGATCCATGTTGGAATCTGCAGGCATTGAACCACCATCATCGGAACTGGTGTCCATGCTGAAACCATCATCTTGATAGTACATTCCGCATGTTGGACATGGGACATTGCTATTGGCATTGGCATGAAAACTTTGGTTCTGATTCCAAGCATCCCATGGTCCAGCACCTGCATGATTGGTGGGTGATCCTACATACGCATGTTGTGGAAAACTTGCATTCCTCCACGGATCAGGTGGATTTGGGTCTCCAGTCATGAAAGCATTGGCTGGTTCTGCATTTGTCTCAAAGGTTGGAAAATATCCATCTGCATAAAAGTTACCAGGGTCACCCATTGCACCTTGTTGACCTGTGGCCTGCATTCTACCTTCACGCAAATGAAACAACCTTCGAACACGTTCCATCAGCTCTCCAACCTGCATCTCATTTTGCGGCATCAATCCCCCGGTCGGGGCCAGCAGTCTATCCCACATCTCGGCATTCAATCCCAGGGATTGTAACAACAGCCATGAAAGGCCCGTCCAGTTCACTGCAAAGCCTGCTCGAGCTTGAGCACGGTTACGCAAGATATCGAATCGGACCAAAACTGAGTCAATTGTTTCACCTGGGAGCCTCTTGAAGGAAAGGAACTCACTGATTGACTTCGTGGTGTTTTCAGCTTCAAGTGGAGCATATCGTCTTGCAAGCACATTGACAAGTAACATTAACCCCGTATAGTGTTGCCCAGTTTGAGGATCAATGTCACCCTGCTGCAATTGTTGTGGAGTTAGTTCCCTCACAAGCTCTTTTGCAGTGCCTTGTACTTGAAGAGCTGCCACAGGACCATGACGAATTGGATCTAAGTCTGAAGCTGATGCACATAGTATCAAATCAGAAATCCAAGACCGCAAAGAGTACACATGATTTCTTTCTATGCACCATAATGGCGGCACTTTTAGTGTCGCCGTCCCCACGAAAGGAGGACCAGCATCACTTTGGTGTACGTTCGTCCGCATTCCATGTTGGGATGGATGAGGTGGCCTGAAAGGGCCTTGCATCATGCAAGGCAGCAACATGCACATCACTGCAGAAACACATGTCATCATCGTTGCAAAAACATGCATCTTTGAATGTCGACCCATTGGATGAAAACTACTATCAGCAAGCTTATGCAACCAGTTAACAACATTCTGCTTCTTGGGAACCATGTCGTCAAGCTGTTGTAATTGCCTGCTGTTGTTGTCACCAAAATCGACCCCTGCCGTAAGCAATGCACTGTTTGCCAAACCAACTGCTCTCATCCGTGTCCGGTGAAAATCATCTGTCGTTTCGTCTCGAACCCGGCTGACATCGTGAAATCTTTCAGAAAAATCAGTTTCATTCACAACTGAAAAAGCCATACTGCCGTCTGAATCCACTGTCACATCAACCGTCAAAGACATTCTAAAACCTGTTGTTGTTTGCACATTGGGCTCATTCACATTGCTCCAAGTCAGAGTCTGTTCGATCTGCGGGCTGGTGGTGCTCGAAGTCAACCATTGCAACGGGACGTTGTCCGCGTCAGTTGGCACACTCAATGCATCGAGGTCAGTAAACGCATACTCCAGCAATGCAAGCATACCACCTAGAATGATCACTGCACCAAGCAAACTTCTGCAGACCAAACAGACCCCAACTTGGCAGCATCGCCGCAGAGCTTCCATGGGCTCCGCTACCAAGTTGGGATCTGCTCGGTAGGAAACGGCCCTACAAACATCAGTACTTCCAAGGAAAACATGTCGTTGGTCGGCCGCCTTTCCCTTTTCTCTCGCCGATGTTCTCATGTTGAGAACTGCAAATCCATGCACAGCAAATCGAAGTAAACAGCCACGCAAAAAGGGTATGTTGGACTCGAGTCTGGGAAAAGGCAACGAAGACATGTACTGTCGTTGACAGGTACTGTATCAACCACCAGCTGGAAGTCATGACATGTATGGCTATGTTGTAGGGACCTTCATAGGACTGGCCCCTTTTGACTAGCCATCCAAGACCCAAGACTTAGGAAGCCACGAAAAGAAGCACCGCTGTGAGCAAGGCTGGCTCTTCCATCAAAGTTCCTTGGCAAAACAATGGAACATAGCTGTAACATAGTGGAATGTTGGCATTGCCACTTCCAAGGGACAGATTGCGCAGCTATGCAGATTCCCCATGCACCGCTGCCATATTGCAAAACGGGTATCTGTAATCATCCTCATACAGCAGGATCGTAATCGAAAACAGGCAGAGTACCGAGCTCCTGGGCTGCAACGGCTGAAACGGTTGAAACAGCTGAAAGGTGTCATCCTTGTGGCGGAGCTTGGTGCATCCAGGCCACGGAATGTCTCGCATCTCCTTGGCTCATTGAGATCAACACTTTGTCCAGAAATGTCCAGAATGACAAGTTTCATATCCCTTGAAACACAGACCACCATGGTCGTCGTAAACCAAATTCATGCCACGTCTACCTGTGTATGAGACACCATGAGACACCTAGGGGCCCGCAACAATCCGCAACATACATGTTGCATTTGAAAGGATATCGGTTCAGCAAGGCTTCAAAGTAAGGATGTTCAAGCACACTGATGGCACTTCCAAACGTGAGCAGCAGGAAGACCAGGGCAACAAGGAAGCGGCCGATTTCACTCAGCACCTTCCCGAATGCGAAACCCGTGGAATTCTTTCAGAACATTTCAGAACCAACTCTTGGGGTCCAACCTTGATGATAAGAACCTTAGGCATACTGTACAGAATTTCAGGATTCAATGGAGCACTCGTATCCAAGTGACCATGTCAAGACATGTCAAGGCCCATGTCACAATCAGCCAAGTCCAATCATTTGATGTGCCAGCACCAGAAAAACTCAATAAAACTGTCAGATTTGGCTCAACTTATGCACCGTATCATGACCTTATCCTGCCTACAAGGGGATCACCAGGGACATATCATCAACATTTCATCCAGTGCATCCATTCACAACTACGTCGACAGCCGTGCCGCCGTGCCTGCGCACACACTAGGACGAAGGCTGACAAGCCCGTCGAGAAGACAGCGAGGTCAACCATCAAAAACCAATGCACGGCCATAGCTAAAAGCCCTAAAGCTGAGTAGGTCCACCGCAGGTCCTCCGATCGCAAGGAATGTCTTGGAATGTGATGAATGTGCAAATGTCGAAGGTGTAGGAATTTGCTTGCACGTGGACGGTGTTAAGGTGTTAGCTTGATTTTTCGATGGCGTGGTTTTTATTCAAAATTGTTTGAAAAAAGATTGGCTGGGGGAAAGAAGAGCACGGATTGCCTGACTCTGTAGGAGGGTCGTTTGGCTTTTGTGACATGTGTCCATTTCGCATTTGCTGTGACTGGGCCCTGGGAAGGTTTTTGAATCCAACTTCGAACGACAACACGGAAAAATATTGTCTTTCAGATGTTTTAACAGGTTCTTGAAGCGCAACAAGTTTAAACGTTTACCGTTTATATACTGTTTTACAAACAAGCTTTTCGTGGGTTTAAAAGATTTGGCAGACAAGGAGTCGTAAAAATGCCAACCTTGCTTCAAAATATCCACGTGGTGCTCCCTTTGCAGTCATGGTTTTCGATGGTGGCTTTTTGTTTAAAGAGCATGGGGGGCAGGGTGGCACAATAAATCACAGCCAGTGGTGTTCCTGGCTGATGCACTTGTGTTTCTGGCTCGACTGATAACCCACCGTAGGAAAGGGAATCAATGGCATGGACTCACTCAAAAAAAACGCAGCGGCCGTCCAAGTTTGCATTTTTCAGTTCAAGATGTTTGACCTGAGGATAATGAAACTGAAAGCAAATTATATTAGAACCAAGATCCTTTTGCTCAATGGTCAGAGAAATATCATTGGGAAGGTGTAGGAAGGTGTAGGAAGGTGTAGGAAGGTGTAGGCCGTTGGTGAGGTTGGGTCAAGTCGTGAAGGGGGTCAACATGATGTCTTTAAGCTCATCCCATCCCAACTGCTCCTCCACATCATCACAGTAGTAGGTGGGCCACTCTTCTGGGGCAGAGGCTAAGCAGTGATACATTGGTTCGTAGCAGAACATCAGCAGGAGAAGAACCGCCAGAGTCTTAGTTTATAGCGACAGTGCAGCGCACAACTTCCAAAGCCACCCAGGAGATGCACGATCGCTACATTGTGACTACATGCTCCAAGAGTTAAAACGCATGAGAATGCAGTGCAAGAATATGCAAGAATGCTGGTTCTGCAGCTGGTTGTTCAGAATCTTCGGGCAAGAAAATGCTTGACACACTAGGAGTTGATTCAAGAGACTAAATTGCCCAGTGCCATTGCATTGTGCAAGGACTTTGGCAACGGAATGCATCTCAGAACCTTCTTGTACTTGCCCCGGCGAAGATCCTTGCAGCCCTTCCAAAAGAGTCCTCGGATGCTGCCAATTATCAGTCACTACTGTACTCAGTCCCAGCAGTTCTAAGTAATAGCAGATTCAATAGCAGTAGGAAACCATACCAAACCCTCCTGGTGCTTCATGCGGCTTCATGCGGCTTCATGCCAGCGAGCTTCTGGTGAGTAATCTCGCCATGGTCACCACGTACATGAAGGTGCGCCCAAAGAACACTACAACTCGCACGCTGTAAACCCCTTCCAGGGCTCTCTCTTTGGGCAGAATACATTCGCTCAACATGAAGACGAGAAGACTGACCAAGAACCACAACCGCGACAGGAGGAAGTGATTTCTCACCAAGCCATTCCACCTTAGAAATATATCTTCTGATGCAGGGGCAAAGATGCGGAGTTCTGTTGCCATTCTCCAATGGCTCCTTCATTTTTTTGCATGCCAACCCTATGAAATTTGAAACACATGGCCTTAAAAGTGAGAAAAGGATGAAAAAGGTTGAACTTTTGTGATTGAGTCATCAACTTCAGTGCAACTGGATAACTGGATCATTTCATATCATTTCAGCACAACTCAGGTCGACAAAAGCAGCTAAGCAGGGATCCGCCAAGGCACAAGGTGTCTGACACTGTCACCACCACCGGGTGAACCATGATCTTCGGGTCTTTGGTACTACAAATCTCTCGCAAAAATTCAGCAGGTTCACCCTCCTGCAACGGCCAGATCAGTGGCCAGATGGTGTTGCTGATGGTTGTGGCAGGATTGATGTGCAAAAAGAACCGCTCCAATATTATGCTCCAATGATTGTGACATGAAGAGCGGGCACCCACGGCTCCCAACTTTGTGCGCAGGAAGCACCGTGGACTGGCTCTAACTGCCAAACTTTTCAAACACTACTAAGATCTACTAAGGGGGGAAGGAAAGACAAATTATGAAATGAAGCGATCCCCTGTGCGCAAGTCCTGATTGACAATGAGATGCTTCACCTTGGGACGCTTCACAGGATGCATTTGGAATGACACAATGTCTACAGTGCCTCTGCAACAAGACATAACAAGACATAACAAGACTAAGTTTGATTGAGTCTGATTAAGTCTGACGAGCTGATGCAAGTCGCATAATAGTTGACCCTGCGCAGGCCCTTCTCTGTGCGTGGAGATCGCCAGATCAATCCATCCAGCAGAATAGGAATCAGCATCGGTGCCTTGCAACATGCCCAACATGTCCCCGAAAAACAAAACCTCTGCTGCCTGGTCCCAGAGCTTGGAAAAGGTCCCTCAAAGCAAACTGCGCCACGAGCCTCACGGCATAAACAGTTGATGATGTCCTGGTGACGCTCGAAAAGTGCATCATTGCCTCAAAGGAAACCACTCGGTAGCTGTCGAGAGGTGAGGCCAGTATGAATAATATACATTACATTTAATTACATTTCATGCACATTCAAAATACACGCGGCGTCAATAGTCCACTTGTTTGACAAACGCCTAGCAGCACCTAGGCACAAAGCCACACTGAGTTCACTGAGCTCTAGTCCATAGTAATACCTCTCTCGGTCTGCACGGAGGACCAGCAGGTCTTGCATGATGGCCTCCGGCAACGCATGAAAGGCAAGCCATGAAAGACCTTAAAGACCATCTCATTCTCAAACTCTCTGTCCTCTCAATATCATCACAAGCTAGCAGCTCCAAAGTCGCACCTCTGCTGCGGCAAGATTTCCACTCTGAATGGCCCAGTACAGAGGCGAGATGGATTGCGTTCCCACCTGCCAGCCGAGGCCAAGAAAGTCATATCCGAAAAGAATTTCACAGCATGCACCAAGGCGCAAAAGAATTGCAGCTGTTGGTCCCACTTCCCGAAATCAATCCTCTCTCAGTATACATCTACATCAAAAACAAACAAAAACAAATTAAAGGACCGGATAACCGCACAAGTCAACTTCTTCCAACAATAAGAAACTAAAGTTGAAGCGGGACGGGAAAGGAAGGAAAGGCAAAAGAGGTGGTGGAGGATTGGAGGATGATCGATAAGTTATAATTAAAGGACCAGATAACCCCACAAGTCAACTTCATCCAATAATGAGAAACTAAAATTGAAGCGGGACGGGGAAGGAAGGAAAGGCAAAGGAGGTGGTGGAGGATTGGAGGATGATCGATAAGTTAATTAAAGGACCAGATAACCCCACAAGTCAACTTCTTCCAATAATGAGAAACTAAAGTTGAAGTGGGACGGGGAAGGAAGGAAAGGCAAAGAAGGTGGTGGAGGATCGATAAGTTAAAAAAAGTTGTACGTGGAGGAGTTGTGTGTGTGTGGGTGTGATGTATGGGGGTGAAACAGTTGTGTGCGCAAAGAGTTGTGTTTGAGGAAGTTTTGAATATTTGTGTATGAGTGTGAACAAGTTGTGTGTCAGAAAGTTGCGTGTAAAAGAGTTGTGTATGCAAGAGTTGCGTGTGCCACAGTTGTGTGAGAAAACCGGCCTCTCAAGCGACGCGGTGGAGCAGAGCGGGACGTTCGACAGTCGCAAGGACCTGAACGGCCAGTGCTTCAGTGTGTGCCCAGCAAGGCGCATTAGCCCATAGCCCTTGCTGTCATACTCTGTTGAAAACCGAGCGTTGGCCCCAAGCACACACAACCGCGTCATCCCGCAGCCCCGGCCAACGAGATGAGAAACAACATCACGTTGGTCCGCTTGGTGCACGCAACAAAACATGAAACGAACCAGAATTGACACAACAGGCATATGCGATTGCAGCAGATTGTGCGATTTGAGGGCCTCCCGCTGGACATTGCCCTGGCATGTTGCAGATTGCTTCATGCCTGCCGACCATCGGCATGTGCCCGGCAAGGCGCCAGCCCATTGCCCTTGGTTGGAAACGGGGCGTTGGCCCCAAGCACACAAGACCGTGTCATCCTGCACCCCCGGCCAACGAGGTGACAGCCGACAACACGCAAAGTGCCGCGGCGTCACCGGCGACCAACGGGCCCCAAGCGCGCCACCAGAGCCAGCCCAGTGTCACAAGTGCCGCACCTGCCACGCAAACCGAAGGTGGATGTCGCCAAGCGCCAAGCAAAGTGACGGTGGATGTCGCCAAGCGCCACGCCTGCCACACAAAGTGCCGCGGCGTCACCGGCGACCAACGGGCCCCGCCACGCAAAACGAAGCTTGATGCCGCCACGCCTGCCACACAAAGTGACGGTGGATGTCGCCAAGCGCCACGCCTGCAACGCAAAGTGCCACGGCGTCCAGCCAAGCGTCACAAGTGCCACACCTGCCACGCAAAGAGAGTGTCGATGTCGCCGAGTGCCACGCCTGCCACGCAAAACGAAGGTGGATGTCGCCAAGTGCCACGCCCGCCACACAAAGTGACGGTGCATGTCGCCAAGTGCCACGCCTGCCACGCAAAGAAGTGTCGGTGTCCCATGCCTGCCACGCAAAGTGATGGTGGATGCCGCCAAGTGCGAGCAAGTTGTGTGTGAGCAAGTTGTGTGTGTGACAAAGTTGGTGTGAGCAAGCTGTGTGTGAAAGATGGTGTGTGACAAAGTTGTGTGTGACAAAGTTGTGTGTGTGTGAACAAGTTGTGTGCGCGTGTGTGGGTGGCAAAGTTGTGTGGTTGTGTGCGTGTGTGTGTGTGTGCCAATTGTATGTGAAAGGGCTGTGTGTGTGAAAGATGGCGTGTGACAAAGTTGTGCGCGTGTTGCAAAGTTGTATGTGGCAAAGTTGTGTATGAGCAAGTTGTGTGTGTGTGACAAAGTTGTATGTGACAAAGTTGTGTGTGTGAGCAAGTTGTGTGTGACAAAGTTGTGTGTGAACAAGCTGTGTGTGAGTGGCAAAGTTGTGTGGTTGTGTGTGAGCAATTTGTGTGTGACAATTGTATGTGACAAAGCTGTGTGTGAAAGATGGTGTGTGTGAAAAAGTTGTGTGTGTGACAAAGTTGTACGTGACAAAGTTGTGCGTGTGTGTGTGAGCAAGTTGTGTGTGAAAGAGATAGGAGGCAAAGTTGTGTGTGAGAAAGTTGTGTGTGAAAGAGAGTGTGTGACAAAGTTGTGTGTGAGCAAGTTGTGTGAAAGAGAGAGGAGGCGGCGGCGGAGGAGCGGGATACAGAATCAAAAATAAGAGAAGAAACGCCCCTCGCGCCTGAACTTTCAGAAGCCACTGGAAACGCTGCCCACGCGGAGCACAACTAATCGCTCGCTGCCTGAGATTCAGAACGACTTCAGAGTCTACGTCCAAAGGCTTCCAAAGACACGATGCGATCGTAGATTGTTTTCAGAGTGTGAAAATCAATAGATTGTTTCCAGATGTTTTCAGATCTGGCCAAAGTGACAGCATCTTCCTCGAATTTGCATTCACTGCCTAGCCGGGGAAATGGGCCAAGCCACCACAGATTAACCACGACCGGAATCTGGGACCACCGCAGGTAGATCCAAATAATGGAAATCCCTAGTGTACCGTGTACGCAAACCACCGCTACTTTAAATAGCATCTGGCCCCAACCTTCATCACAATGGTCGATCCCTCTGCCACTGTTCTCACCTCACTCCAACCATGATACTATTGTGAAGTCCGGGGCACACTTTTACCAAGAGCGCGCTGAATTTGCTGAATGAATGACATATTGCCGAGTGTGTATATTGTATGTCTGTATGTCTGTATCTCTGTATGTATGTCTGCCTGCCTGTCTGTCTG